GGCGATCGATTGGCGATGACGTTGCGGATGTCGCGCCGCAGCTTGGTATGCCTTGCCTAGGGCGCCTCGAGACGCGGTATCCGATCTTTGCCCTCCTCGGCGAACGCCAGCAAGTCCGTGGCCAGCAGCTTCATCGCATCGCATCGCGCGCAGTCCCGCATGCCTTCCGGCGCGGCCCTTGGATTTCCACTCACCTGGTAGGCTGTCGCATCGAGCTCGCACTGGCCAATCTCTTTCGCCAAGCGCGGCGGCTGACCAGCCGCGTAGTCGAACTTCAGGCGCCGCGATGCAGTCGGCGGAGACGTCGGCGAACAGCACCTTGCCCCGCGAGCAACTCTGGTCGCCCCACTCGTGCACGATAGGATGCGCGGGCCGAGCTGGCAGGTCATGCGGCGCTGGAAGCAGCGGGAGCCCGTCGGCGAGGTCGAGGCTCTCTCAATCCTCGGGCTGCGGATGCTGGAGCAGCACGTTTTCCTTGCCGCTACCACTTTGTCGGGCATGACCTCTTCCTCGTTCTCTTCGCCGATCGGCTGCAGCAGTCCGAGGTCCTGGGCAGCCGCGCCAGCGATGCCCGTCGGTCTCAGGGGCTGCTCCGCACGCCGAACACGCGGGCGACTGAGCGAGGCCGCGCGCGTGGAGTCGCGCTCGCGGCCACATCCCTGCCGACCACTGAGGCTGCATCGCCCCCCGCGCCCATGGGTTGCGGCCGGCATTCGGCCCTCGCGCGCAGGCGTCGACCGCCTTTGGTCGCGGCCCTCCTCCATCAGCTTCGGGCAGTCAACTGGGCCGCCGCCGGCGCTGCCACCGTTGGGCGCCTTCCGCCAGGACGTCCTGGGCGTCCCTCGGAAGCGCGGCGGGGACAGACACGACGTTCTGCTTGTCATCGCGAATCAGGTGCTCAGCCTGCATGGCCCAGTCGACGCGCCTCAGCGTTGCCCAGACCGCCCCGATTGGTCTTTGTGCTCTTGTCCAGCTGGGACGGGTTGCGAGCGCGGCGCCCACCTCCCCCCGTGCTCTGTGCACGGCGGCCGCGGAGGCACGGCCTTCCCACCGCCGCGCCGCGCAGCGCGCGACGATGGACGCGGCGACCTCGAACGTTGGATCGCACCTGGCAGCCCGTTGCGATGCGGGTGCGCCCGCGCAGGTAGCGGGGGGCCGCCGGCCAGTGCCCCCGCCGAAGTTCGCGGGAGGTCGAAGCCGGCCATCATCGAGCTAACCTGCCCCAGCCCCATGCGCTGCAGCAGGGGGCAATCCAGTCGCGAGCAGCTCGGCGGCCCCCCTGCCCACAGCGCTCTCCTCACCATCTGCAGCCGTCTTCCTCGCTCCCCGATGTCCTGCAGCCGCTTGTGCCCCCGCCTGCGCGGCGGCCTCGCGCCCAACGCACCTGGCGGCCGAGGTCGCGCGACCGTCGGCGCTGCGGGGTGCCGAGGCGCTCGGCATAACGCAGGAAAGCCTGGGCGGCTTTGCGGCGCGAGGGCACGAATGCCCGCTCGTCCATCTGCGCGTGCAAATGGAGGTCGCGGAGGTCGGCGCAAAGAGCTCCGCTGCTCGGGCGAGGGCGCGCAGTCCTTGTCCTGGTCCGCCCAACCACTGCAGCGCGACGTCGTCCACCAGCGGGCGCGGCGTGACCGCTCAGCGCCCTGCGCGCCGAGGATCGCGGTGGCGCGCGAGCACCCCGCGACGGTGCGGGATGCTCGCGCGGGACGCCCCGTCAAAGTCCCTGCCCGCTGCTTAGCATTGGACTGCAGCAGCCGCCATCCCAAGCACTTTCTGCAGCACCACCTGCGGCGAGACGGTCTCAAGGCAGTTCTAGGGGCCGATGAGCACGGCAATGGCGGCACCACCTTTGTGCCTCGTGATATCTGCCTGGATGTTGCGCGCAGCGTGGGCAGCGCGCCTTGACCTAAGTTCCCACGCCTACTGCGCCGCCCGTGCTCTCTCCCAGGCTCCCCTCTCAGGCCTGCGGGCGCGTGACTAGTCGCGCGCCAGCGCGTCGAGGAGGCGGATGGCCTGGCCCCTCCGCCAGCCTCGGGTGGCCTGGCCAGTTCGCACAGCACCCTACCTTGCTGCCAGCTTCCCAGCCCCTCGCACTTCTCGACCACGGCTCCGAGCGCCACCAACGCCTCGTCCGAAGGGTCGTCGAGCGCCATCGGGGCGATGCGAGTGGTGGGTCCTCACGCTGTCTTCGGCTTGAAAGTGCGGGTGACCTTCCTGGGCCTCGACGACGCCTTGCCCGTGGCATGCTTCTGCAGGCCGCCCGAATCAGCTACGCTGGCCGGCGCCCCCGGCCTCTTCCCACCAGGCCATCTCCGCGTCCATGAGCATGCGCGGCTGCGCACCAGCTGCCTCCGCTGCTCAAAGCGTCGCCAGGGGGACTGTCAATTAGGGCCTTTACTTTGTCGGCGCGGCGGGCCTGGCCTGCGCCTCTCAGGAAGGCGTCCGCCCTGTGCGCAGCGTTCAAGGACACAGCGCTGGTGCAGAGGTGGGGGCGCTGGAACAGCGATGCGTTCCAGGTTCCGAAGGCACCTCTGGGAGGCAAGGAACATGGCGCAGGGCGTGGCCAGCAGCATGGCAGCCGAATACCTGGCCACGGTGTGAGGAAGAGGCGCGGCGGGCCGCGGCAGAGGAGCTTGTAAGGTTCATGGCGCAAGGGCAGCAAGTAAGGTCGGATAGGCCAGAGGCTGCAGCGCCTGGGAGGAGCCTCTCGTAGCTTGAGGAGGCAGCGGCCATATCGGGCATGAGAAAGGGTTTTCGTGACCAGGAGCCGGCAGCAGCAGCGCGTGCCGGAGGCGCGTCAGTGTGGCGGTCAAAGGAATGCTCGGGAGTGGCAGGGCCAAGTCCCCCCTCCAGTCCAGGCGGGGGCCCTCGAGGCGGGTCCCGCTGCCCGGGCAGCAAAGGCCACAGATGGCAGAGAGGCGGCAGGCGCTGGGAGCATGGGGGGGCCATCGCCCGGGTGCGGAGGCGGAAGGCCTCGCACCTGGCGGTCGAGCTCGCACCAGGATGGACCAGGTGCCCTGTGGCGCAAACTCATCATCATCAGCGAGGGGGGGCGGACTGAGTGGCGTACGCGCGGAGCGGGCTGCCGCCACGATCCGCCTTAGGTCGGGAGGCAGAGGTAAGAGGAGAATTCCGACGTTTCAGGTCGGGTTATGGCCGCTGCACGCTTTTTGGGTCATCATCTGTCGGTGATTCGTGGCCCTAATTTGCACCAGACTGCTCGCGCTTCAGTTCACCTTGAGTCGAGTTCGATCTGCGTACTCCTCGGGTTCTGGCCGCTGCACACTTTTGGGTTTACAGTCCGATTGCTACACCACGTGTGATTTTCTGCAGTTCACAGCGTGCGACGCTTCGCAGAGCTGTTATTAATCGCTTCGCTCATTCCGCCGGCCCATATTGTCGCACCGTTGTGGGCTAGCCGAGTTTTGGGGCCTCTTGGGGGCCGTTTTGGGGCCTCTTGGGCGCCTCTTGGGGCGTCTTGGGGGCCTCTTGGGGGCCTCTTGGGGCCTTTTTGGGGCCTCCTGGGCGCCTTCTGGGGCGGAGGGCTCGATTTTTCAGTTCTCGGTTCCCCTCTTGAGCCCCTCTTGGGGCCTCTTGGTCCGTCTTGGGCGGCACTTGGGCCGTCTTGGGGGCCCTCCTGGGCCGTTCCGGGGCCGTCTTGGGAGCCTCGTGGGCCGTCTTGGAGCGGTCTTGGGGGCCTCTTGGGCCGTCTTGGAGCGTCCGGAAGCCGAAAAAGCCAGAACGCAAAAAACATATAAAAAACAATGAAAATCAACGATTTTGGCCTCTTGGGGCCCTCTTCGGAGGCCTCTTGGAAGGCCCTTGGGGCGTCTTGGAGGCCTCTTGGGCTGTCTTGGGGCCCTGTTGGGCGCCTTCGGGCGATCTTTGGCCGTCTCGGGGCCCTCTTGGACCGTCTTGGAGGCTTCTTGGGGACCTCTTGGCCCGTCCTGGGGCCCTGTAACAGGGCTCCGGCATCTCTGGCCCGACCTTGCCGGGACCTTGCCGGGGACTTGCCGGGACCTTGCCGGGGTACTTTTCGTCCCGGGACCCCCAGGGGCCGCCCCGCGCGCGCGAACTAGAAATACTGTTAACCAGGTGCCGGAGATCTTAGCACGCCCTGGCCCGTTGGGCCGGCGAATTTCGGCTAAGTCCGTCTGTACTTAAGACTTAGCAACTCCGTGTGCTGCCCGCGCCTGAGGTTCCTTTGCGTCGCCGACTTAAGTGTGTGCGCCACGCCCAGTGGCGCTTCTCTGCGCGCGTTGCGCCGCCGCCGTATGCTGATTGCAACGCCTCTCCGTTGTACGATCGGGGCGACTCCGGAGACACGCTATGCCCTGCGAGCGGATAGCGCGTCGCTCCGCTCCGCCAGGCGAGAGGCTGGGAAAATCTCGGGGCGTTGGCGCTCGGGGACTGGAAAATGGATACCGTGTCGCGCCGCAGCGCGGTGAGCCAGGAAATGGCGGAGCGACACGCTGAGCCAAAGCCACTGATCGCTAACCTAGAGGAAGCTGCACAAGCGTCAACTTTCGGAGGTCCGCGCTAACTTCTTGGGTCGGCGCTGGACCTCTCTCCCCAGCGCGCGGACCGCGCCGGGGGGCGTCGCTGGAGGCGCCGCCAGTTGGGCTCCAGCGCCAACCCAAGAAATGCGCGCGGACCTCCGAAAGTTACAGTCATCGCGCTACAAGAAGGAAAGCTGAACCAAGGAGCGACGGGGACGTTCCTGGCCACGATGAGCCTCGGCAGCGAGTAGGCCCCCAAACCCCAGGCCCAAACATTGGCGCGGCCCCACAAGCCATGGACGACGTGGAGGCGAAAGGTGAGGGGGGACACGAAATGACTGCGAAAAAGGCGGCCGTGCGTCGGCTGCACGGCCACTCCACCCATGAAGAGGGGATCGACGATGCGGGGAGCGCATGAGCTGAAGGGTGAGCGCATCGGCGACCAGGGGCGCTCACTGTCTATTGCCTGCCCCCCCCCCCCCCCCTCACCCGCGACCCTGAGGCCTACGCACTGGTGGCGGTCTCTGCGAGGAGCGCCTGCATCATGTCTTCGGTGTTTCCGCAATCTGCCGCCAGGGGTCGCGCGTCCGCCGCCGCCATCGCGACGAGCTCGAGCTGCCGAATGTGCTCCTGAAGGCTTGCGCCACAGACCCTCACTGAGGGCAGCTTGGGGAGCACATGGGAATACGGCGGGATCCAGGCAAATAGGATCGAGCCTACCCCCTCGAGGTGGGGATGGATGCCGCGGAACCTGACGGAGAGGACATCTCTCCCCATATCGGACAGCGGGGCCCGGTCTTCTCTGGTGGGGATACGGGGATCGGCTTAAGCATGCGAAGACAATCAAGAATGAAGTGGAAGAGCATCCCTCGGTAACAGGGGCGACTCCCCTACTCATGACCAACTCAAGCATCGGGCCGACCCTCTCCCCGGTGCCCTGCACTAGAGCCATCAGCAAGTCTTCAACGCTTGCACGAAGTCGACATCACGGCCCTCAAAGGACCTTACGGCGAACGCAAGATAACGATACATTTAGGTGAGGACGAATCGGGCATCTCTGAGAGGACGTACCTGGCCCCGCGGCCGGTTTAGAACGCTCCGCATCGCTCTGATAGCGTTCCAGAACACTCTGGAACGAGCTATCCCGGGAGGACCCAAAAACGAATCAGAAAGTCGAGCCGGAAATCAAAATACGTCGAATCGGCATTCATCGGCAGGCATATTGCAAAGCATCGAGGAGGACGCTCGGCCGCCCGAGCTTAGGCCTGCTCAAGGAAGCCTGAACCGCAGGCAGAAGTTGGAGAATCGGCATCGAAATCATCGAAATCGAACCGATCCGAATCGGTAGGATCAAAATAGCTCCTGCTTATCCCGCAACACCCCTGCCGGATGACATTACGAAGCGCGGCCCTCCAGATAACCGTCGCCCGCGACTTCGTCTTGCCGCCCCCCGCAAGATGTCGGCGGGACCAGACGCAGCAAACCTCGGCTGGGGAGGTCGGTGCCCTCGCTGAGGCGGAGCATGCCAGAAGTCGCGCTAGAACGCAGAGCCCAGCAACGAACTTCTCTAGAACAAAAACACACATAAACATAAGCTTTCGGAGATCCGCGCGGGTTTCTTGGATCGGTGTTGCACCCCTCTCCCCGGTGCGCGCCAAAGGCGGCGCCGGAGGCGCCGCCAGGGGGGCTCAGCGCCGATCCAAGAGATCCGCGCAGATCTCCGACAATGTATGTTTATGACGTTTTTGTTCCCCACATGTTTCGTGGGGTTCTGGTTTTCTTCCCTGCCGCGGCGCACCCGCGTCTCCTCCTCCCCTCTCTCTCCTTCTTACACAGCGCAGCACAGCACAGCACAGCACAGCACAGCACAGCACAGCACATGCACAGCAGCGTAAGGGGTGCGCAGGGGCTGGTCTCTCACCGCGGCCGCTATCCGTGACAGTCGTCCAGGGCACAGCAGGCATGGCAGATTCTCGACACCATAAGGGGTGCGCAAGGGGTGGTCTCCTACCGCGGCCGCTATCCGTGACGGTCGTCCAGGGCACAGCAGGCATGGCATATTCTCGACACCATAGGGGGGGGGCGCAACGGGTGGTCTCTCACCGCGGCCGCTATCCGTGACAGTCGTCCAGGGCACAGCAGGCATGGCATTTTCTCGACACCATAGGGGGTGCGCAGGGGGTGGTCTCTCACCGCGGCCGCTATCCGTGACGGTCGTCCAGGGCACAGCAGGCATGGCATATTCTCGACACCATAGGGGGTGCGCAGGGGGTGGTCTCTCACCGCGGCCGCTATCCGTGACGGTCGTCCAGGGCAGCAGGCATATTCTCGTGACGCAAGACAGTGACAGGCATGGCATATTCTCGACACCATGGCAGGGGGGTGCGCAGGGGGTGGTCTCTCACCGCGGCCGCTATCCGTGACGGTCGTCCAGGGCACAGCAGGCATGGCATATTCTCGACAGCGTAGGGGGTGCGCAAGGGGTGGTCTCTTACCGCGGCCGCTATCCGTGACGGTCGTCCAGGGCACAGCAGGCATGGCATATTCTCGACACCATAGGGGGTGCGCAGGGGGTGGTCTCTCACCGCGGCCGCTATCCGTGACGGTCGTCCAGGGCACAGCAGGCATGGCATATTCTCGACACCATAGGGGGTGCGCAGGGGGTGGTCTCTCACCGCGGCCGCTATCCGTGACGGTCGTCCAGGGCACAGCAGGCATGGCATATTCTCGACACAGGGGGTGCGCAGGGGGTGGTCTCTCACCGCGGCCGCTATCCGTGACGGTCGTCCAGGGCACATGGCATATTCTCGACACCAGGGGGTGCGCAAGGGGTGGTCTCTCACCGCGGCCGCTATCCGTGACGGTCGTCCAGGGCACAGCAGGCATCATATTCTGACACAGGCATGGCAGGGGGGTGCGCAGGGGGTGGTCTCTCACCGCGGCCGCTATCCGTGACGGTCGTCCAGGGCACAGCAGGCATGGGGGGGTGCGCAGGGGGTGGTCTCGCGGCCGCTATCCGTGACCGTCCATACTCGGGGGTGCGCAAGGTGGTCTCTCGCCTCGCGGCCGCTATCCGTGACGGTCGTCCAGGGCACAGCAGGCATGGCATATTCTCGACACCATAGGGGGTGCGCAGGGGGTGGTCTCTCACCGCGGCCGCTATCCGTGACGGTCGTCCAGGGCACAGCAGGCATGGCATATTCTCGACACCATAGGGGGTGCGCAGGGGGTGGTCTCTCACCGCGGCCGCTATCCGTGACGGTCGTCCAGGGCACAGCAGGCATGGCATATTCTCGACACCATAGGGGGTGCGCAAGGGGTGGTCTCTTACCGCGGCCGCTATCCGTGACGGTCGTCCAGGGCACAGCAGGCATGGCATATTCTCGACACCATAGGGGGTGCGCAGGGGGTGGTCTCTCACCGCGGCCGCTATCCGTGACGGTCGTCCAGGGCACAGCAGGCATGGCATATTCTCGACAGCGTAGGGGGTGCGCAAGGGGTGGTCTCTTACCGCGGCCGCTATCCGTGACGGTCGTCCAGGGCACAGCAGGCATGGCATATTCTCGACACCATAGGGGGTGCGCAGGGGTGGTCTCTCACCGCGGCCGCTATCCGTGACGGTCGTCCAGGGCACAGCAGGCATGGCATATTCTCGACACCATAGGGGGTGCGCAGGGGGTGGTCTCTCACCGCGGCCGCTATCCGTGACGGTCGCCCAGGGCACAGCAGGCATGGCAGATTCTCGACACCATAGGGGGTGCGCAGGGGGTGGTCTCTCACCGCGGCCGCTATCCGTGACGGTCGTCCAGGGCACAGCAGGCATGGCATATTCTCGACACCATAGGGGGTGCGCAAGGGGTGGTCTCTCACCGCGGCCGCTATCCGTGACGGTCGTCCAGGGCACAGCAGGCATGGCAGATTCTCGACACCATAAGGGGGTGCTCAGGGGGTGATCTTTCACCGCGGCCGCTATCCGTGACAGTCGTCCAGGGCACAGCAGGCATGGCACATTCTCGACACCATAGGGGGTGCGCAGGGGGTGGTCTCTCACCGCGGCCGCTATCCGTGACGGTCGTCCAGGGCACAGCAGGCATGACATATTCTCGACAGCATAAGGGGGTGCGCAGGGGGTGGTCTCTCACCGCGGCCGCTATCCGTGACGGTCGTCCAGGGCACAGCGGTATCGGCGGGGCAACGGCCACCAACATCATTCTCACATGCTTCACTTCAGCTCTCATCTCTCCAGCCATCATATATGTATGTGGGGTTCCTCGGTAGCGTAATTTGTTGTTCGATTGTCCCAGAGGTCGTGCTGCCCCAGAAGGCCCCGCTCGATGGGAAACAAAGTCCCCTGTCCACTGCAACGGACATGGCGCAGAGGGCCCAGCTGTGGATCCAACTCCAGGGAATGCATCGCGAGGCAAGGATTTATCCTTATCCACCGCGTGGGGAGCTGATGTCCTCTGACCGCAGGGGGGCTCTGGATATTTTGGGTATGTTTGGGCGCCCTGGGGTCCAAATATGCCCATTTCCACCGCCCCCAGGAATTTCAACTTCCCGCGCTGCACATATGGAAAAATCCCAACCTCGGTTCCGTGATGGCGGGGAGAGTAATCAATTACTCCTGGAGGATCCGCACGACGGCTCCTGGCGAAGGCTGGACAAAGCCGCCCTGACTTCGTGGGAAGTAGAAGGCTGTCTATGGGAAGTCCGCCTCATCGTGCTCGGTGGGCACGACGATGCGTGCATTGGTGTTGACTTCGACAGTGATTCAGGCGCTAAGATAGGGCCAGCTGGCTAAGGCAGGTGATCACTTCTTGAGGTTCATGGGGCATCGCGGACTCTGGCGTGGGCGGCACAATTCTGCGGCGTCTCGCAGCAACGTTTTGCCCAGAGCCCGCGCTGCACTGCGCAAGGAACCACAGCAGGACCCCCCCGGAGGGCGTCCACTGCGCAGGAGGGAGCCAGCAAAAGTACGGGCTGCGGTCGACACGTGTTCAGGAGACGTGCATTTTTCGGATTACCGGATCCTTAGGGGAACCGACAAATACCGATACCACTACTCCACGGACCTCTCCTAGTGCGCGTTCTGACCAGGATTTCGGGCCGACTCCAGCCCTGGCGACGAGGGCCTGGATGTCGGCGGTGCCCAGAGGCTGGACGTGTCTGTGTCAGCGCGAACGTCGGGGCTTGGGCTATGACGGGCGCCTCGGCCTCGCTCTCCACTGCGCGCCCAGCGGCAGTCCCGACGAAGCAGAGGCGCCCTGGCATGAGCTGTGGCCGACCGCGTGGTGCCGCGGGTGAGCGTCTCGAGCCGCTTCTGCGCTAGCGCTTCCCGCGGGAGAACTCGGCCGGCACAGGCGCTCAGGCCGTCGGCACTTGAGGGGTTAACCTGTCGAGTGGTGGAGACCATCGGCTAGGTGACGAGGAGGTTTGGGCGGCTTCTCTGCGAGGCAGGTGACGCACCGCCGATCAGCGAGGGCACCATTGTTGGCGATTGTGCG